GTGATACAAACCCAAACAAAAAGAATATTTATGCTATAGCAGTTTGATCATTCCCAGTGTACAAAATCATAAAGAACTGATCCTGTATTAAAATGCAAGACTCCCCTGAGTCAACAGCCAGAGGGTAAACAGGTTAAATTAATAAGGAAAGGGTGACTTTGACTAGGACAGCTGGTTTCATCACAACCACTGCTGTACTGTAGTACGTTTACCAGTAGATACGAGACGTCAGGTAGCAAGTGAGGAGGGGAAATGAAAAAGGAGGCAAATATATACTGTAGATCTTCTGCTCTAAAGTGCTTCGAGAAGCCGCCTTTAAAGGCGCTATGTAAAATAAAGTTTATTTTGTAAAATATTTTTTTTTGGTGATGGTAGATATATCACTGTGTATTTTGTATCCAATTTGTGGAGTTATTGGGTTAAAAGGAAAGTATTTACATTAAATGAATGTTAGTTACCACTGTACTGTATTGGACCTTAATGGAATTAATCTATATTGGCACACCTAAAAAAATAAATACATTTTTCGTTGAGAAGCCAGCATACAGTAATGCTTACAAAATACCTCATCTCTCACCAGTGCTGTTAAATGACATGTACTTTATAGTAATAATACATGTAAAGCATGGCACTTGTCATACTGTATGTCTTTCAGTAAGCACTTACAGAGAAAATCTGTATAATAGACAGAGTTGGGATTTAATACAGATTTTCATTAAGTGGTTTGTTACTTGTGTCCTTTCTGTATTTCTTTTTTTTTAACTTTAAAAGTTAAGCACTCTTTTTCTGGCAATTAACAAATTTTAATGTGCCTGTATACATTGTAAGGGATGTCTATCAGCATCAAAACCATTTCATGTAATCACAGTTACCTTTGAGGACAGATCCAATACAAAATAACTTATTTATCTCTTAAGATCAACACTGTATGTCCATAACCTCACCAGTTGGGTTTAACACTGCTCTTGGTTTCTTGAAATTTACATATTTTAGTTTCAATGAATGCAACCTGATCCTCTTAACAAATAGCATTTAAAAAGGAAATCGCTTCTGAGACACTGCGTCATAGACTGCAGCTTTGAAGTAATTGGGTTTTCTTATTTAAAAAAAATGTCTTTCATGTTTTTAAAATTTATTAATTATTTTAAATTCCATCCTCGCCCATGGGAAATTATAAACCTAGCATGAGTTTTTTTTCCATCTCTCATTGTGCTACATGAAGTAATGTGTACAGAAAAAAACGAGATTACCAGAGTTACACAAATTACTTTGATTGTCAAATTCAGAAGGATGCATCGATTTGGAAAATAACTATTTGTGTTAAATGTTAAGAACATATACAATTTGTTTTTTAAATCAGGTTTTATTGCTAAAGACAATAAAATCTTTATTATTATTATTATTATTATGATGATGATGATGAATAAGGGATGTTTAACTGTTGTCAGCTACAATGCTGTTTACCTTCTAGGTTCTACAGTTCTTGTGTTTCCATTTGTTTGCGCTGGCAGGCTTGGGAGCAGCCTGTCGCCTACGTGCTCTCACTGGTAATAAAGGTACAAATAGGAGCAGCAACTGCCAACCTGGAGTGGCTTAAAAAGGTTGCCAATAGGAGCCTTCTTTATGTGACCGTTCACAGTTGAGAAAACATGTCTCAGGGCCAGCCTAATTTGCAAGTGTGAAAATGATTTTAGATGTGCACACATAAAACCCAGTTTAGAAACCCCAAGCTAGGCTATGAAATTGTAAGTGATAACACCAGTCCCCATTGAAAACAAGCACAGACTGGAAAACTAAAGCGGCTGCTTCCCCTGTTGCAGATCTGATTGTTTTATTACTTACAATTTATCATAATACTTCATCTGTGCCAGCATTAATCCTTGGTTGACTCATAAAGCTAATAAAATCCAGTCTGGCACTGCCAAAATCGTGTATTACGTTTTATGCAATATACCTCAGGCTTGCTTTTCTTCCTTCCATTAAAGATTTGGTAGTCTGCGCCGGTCTCTCATTAAAGGGAAACAGCAGCACTGTTCCAGACCTCATAAGAAACCAAAAACCTGGGTATACAGAAGCTAGCAACTACAAAAAAGGCATATAGAAATACAAAACACATTGCATCAGGGTTGACTGTGCACTGAAGTTTTAAATCATTACAGCCCTGTCCCTGTGCACTTGTGATCCTGAGTATTTCAGTCATTATAAATAGTTCTAAAATGGAATGTGATAAAAATTATTTTGCACCTTTGAAATTAGGAAAATAAAGGTGCATATAAACTATATGTATCACCAAAACCAACACATTTCTTTACATGCAATATTTACTGCAATATTTAATTCTATAAAAAGAGACACTTATACTTACATTTCTGTTAAACAGAGCTGAATTTTAATTGTGCCATTAGTACACCAGTGTGTGTATTTTGAATTATTTGACAAGGGTCACTGTAGAAATTGATAAAAGTATAGTTATGCTAATAAAGTTTATTTGCATTTAAAATATTTTGGTATCTACAGCAGCCAATAACAGAACTGAGGATACAGGTTTTTTTCTCCGTAAGACAATCGGGTCTGGGTTTCCCTGGTCTCAGTGCTTTTTGTACAGTAGTTATGCAATGTTCAGCTCTGGCTGTTCACTCAGTTAAGCTCACTTACAGCTGTAAAATGACATCTTCTTTTATGAACTGCCATTTCTTGCAATATGCATATTTCAAGGATTCGCCTGCATGTGTCATCATGTACTCGTCTGACAGTTATTAAAATACACAAAATTACTCACAACTACTATCTGATTTAATGCCATGTTTTTACAACTGACAAAAAATAGTGTATTTCTTTTTCCAGGCATAACAAGACTTTCTGAAATTCTAAATTCTAGTATTCTGAAATTAATGGCCTGCAAGAAATGAAGACAGAAAAATTATACAGTAGCTTATGTAATTTCTTCACTTAAATGCCAAAAAGGCCTCATTCATTCCCGCTGTTACACACACACACAGGCAGCTTTGAGTCCTGTAAAATACAGGCAAGATTATTTCAATGTTGACCAGCAGAGCAGTGAGGAGCAGATGGGGAAATAACCATTTATGTTAAATAGTGTACAGCTTGTACAGACCTTGTACAGCTGATGAGAGAATATGACCCCCCACTCAAAACATTTAAGGAAATTTAGCAGACGGTTTCCTCCAAGGACATACTGTAGACCACCCTCCCCCAACAGGAGCATAAAAAAAACTTCCCAAACCCCCTGGAGACAAGAACCTTTGAAAAATGCCAGCACTGGCTCTACTTCAAATAATTAAGCATGGACGATACCAACAATGACTGTGGGCTCCAGTTAATGGACACAGGCAAAGCACAACATTGAGCCCTAGTTGACTAATTCTTTCATAATACAGACTGTCACTGTGACACGATTGTACAGCGGGGGACGAAAGACATCTGGAAACATAATAGATGTAAATAAAAAATAATTCTAAGAGGATTAACAAAAAGTTTACTCTACTTTTAATAAGTGTTAAGGATTTCTAAATATGTGTGGGGGAAAAAAACATTCATTTTGCTTCAGAACGTTTCTGACATTTCCAAACACAGTCCGGCTCTTCCCTACTTATACAAAAGTCAATGCTTTGAGTATTTAAGTCATCCGTTTTTCAAATCCTCAGAAGCACCATGACCTAATAAATTTAATTGTGCAGGACAATCCCTCTATATCCTTTATTTTTTATATATGACTGAAATGGTGTTCATATCACTATGTCTTTCCTATACCAGTCAGATATATTTTTGCGAATGTTCATCGCAAGTCTTGACACCACATCCAATAGTTAGAGGTGTTACTGCATGAATTATATGAAACAATGGTTGTGTAAGCCTACTGACAGTGCATGAAGATTATTTTTAGCATTTTTGGTATACAGTACCACATCTACTGTACGATATGGTAAGTAAATCTCTCTTTTCTTTAATTATCTTTTGATTTAAGTGCACCTGTGCCTCCCCAAACACCAGAACAGGAAAGATGGCTGCAGTCTATAGCAGAACGCCAAAGACGCCCACGCAAGAATCATTCTTCACCTGCAGGTATTCGACGAAGCCAGCTGATATTTTTTTTTTCCTTGATGGATTCAAAACATCAGGGGAATGAAGGAACAATCTGTTGTGATTATGCTCCTTGTGCCTCGACGTTTCCTGGGACTGCTGTTTTGAGAACAGGGGGAAAAGGCCCTCAACAAAAACTTTTTTAAAGCATCTCGTTAATGGCAACCCTGAAAGGATTACCACATGCTGACGGTTTCTCCAGCTGTCCTAAACCATCAGCTTCTGCAGTTACTGTAGGTATCTAAGAGCCCAGGACTTTCAAGATGTTTTCTTGTTCTGGGGAGAATCGCTTCATTTCCTAATAAAATTGTGTCATTTATTCTCGTCACAATGTCATCAAGTCCCGTTAAATGTCAGGTCTGACTTTCAAATTTTGCAAGTAAAAAAAAACTCTTATGGAGCAAATAATCAGTTTAATTCTGCTTCCCATAGAAGAGAAAAGGAGCCTATCTGGGTGCACCATCTGGAAATTCAGCTGCAAGCATTTTTCAATCAAAAGACGCTAACAACGAAGAGGTTTTTCTTTCAAGGGTTTTAACGGATCATTTCGGACCCTTTTGTAAAGAAAATTACTTAAGATGAATCATGTGTAAACCACAAGAACCTTTTATGACTGTCTTTCACTGTTTTTTACTTTTTATTCATTTAATAGACAGGCTCCAGAATCATGTAGACAAGAGACACACACACACACCTCTCAACCACTGTGACTGGGGAAAAAGGCAACAACAGTAAATACTGTAAATGCTAGGTAGGCATATGGATACTGAACTTTTCATACAATTTAACAGGTTCAAAATCAGAAAATAAAAAATCTAATAAAATTTAGGACTTCTAATTAAGCCCTGTCAAGTGATGCATCTACTGTACCTAAACATTGTGAAGAAATTGCATTTTACCTTTCAGAAGGGCTTCTTCTTTTCTAAAGCCTACACCATACTCCAATTCGTAGTTTTTTTCCTGGAAGCCAGGTACACATTCCACTTCTTCTTCAGATGCAACTAGGATAACCTGGGAGGGGAGCGAACAGAATAAAATTAAAAAAGGTTTAAGGTCATCTGCATTTTTAGCGTAAGTTAATGCATGACTTTCACATAAACAAAACACTCATGCAACATTTTATAAATGATAACATTCAGTGAAAGGGAAGTAATTACAACACTGGCACTTTCCAGGTTATATCTTAAAAACATTACTGTACATTTCAAAGATATTAAAACCTAACAAATGAGTATTGTAACCAATAGCACTTGTTATATGTCTCTCGTTATACAGTGTAACCTGTTCTACTCAATATTCACAACTGCACATTTTTTCTAGATTAGAAATAGTCTTTCCACTGTTTTTCCTCTAATTAAGCAAAATAAATTAATTTCCCAGGTTGTTAATTCAACTAAGGTACTCCTCTGAGAAATAAACTCAAAGACTCCCTACTCAAAGAGTGTGATCACAGTGTGCTCTGCTTGCTGAGGTAAGAGTCTCTGTGACCTGTGACAGTGTGGACAGGCAGCACTGTGGTGCAGGGGGTCACTATTTTGCACTTGTAACTAGGAGGTTGTTCAAACCCCAGGTGAGAAACTGCCGATGTACCCTTGAGCAAGGAACTTTCCCTGGATTGCCCCAGTAAAAGAACCAGCTGTACACATGAGTGCAAATGTAAATCACTCTGGATCAAAGAGTCAGCCAAATAAATTACGTATTAAGAGTCCTATCACATCTCCAGACAATGCTAACTATAAGAATACTGCAATGCTCACAGTTCAAATAAGAAATAAGTGATTCCAGGGTTCATGCTTTGAAGTGGATCTGCCCTCCAATGGGATGAGTGATGTCACTGCAAACCCAAGACCTCCCAATTCAAATTCAAGGATGCACAGAAAATCATTGTTGATTCCATAATTTACAAGAAACAAATATCAATCCGTTAACTAGTATGGTATTTAATATACATGACTGAAATTATCTGTGGATATTTAATTAGTATAAGCAAAAAATGCTACTGTGAATTTGAAAATGGACAACTGCACATTTGTATTCTTATTCTACATTACTCTGTTCCCACAGAACCGAAAATTATTGCACATTTAATGTTTTTAGAATTCAAAAAAGGCTGCACCATGAAATTACTAGTTCTGGGCTTTCATCAAAATATACTATAATTTTGCTAAACATTTTAATGACACATTTTAGTTGTCTTGCTTTTATCAAATTTCCGCATTTTAGATGCCTTGTGCATTTTTCTACTTGTGTCCTGTGAAGCCTTTTGTCTGTTGCATGAGATCTGTAAATGTTGAAACGTCTCAAAGAAATAGGCAGAATTCTAAGCACCATCAGCGAATGAAAAGAAATGTCAGCAAGCATCAATCAAGAAACTCAGAAATAGGTAAGAATAAAAATATCCCACCCTAAATACCATTTTCCTCATGACAATCTAAAGTAAATTAGTAAAAAAAGGGCATTGCTTTTCCAAATGCCTTTTGGAAGTTGCTGTAGCTCTTTGAAGTAGAGCTGATTTACAATGTGCACTGCAAAGTACTTGAGATCAATTATACTAATTTTTCAGTCGTGCATTTAGGCAGTGGAAAACACATCTCCATAAAACATTAAGGTAATCTGTAATGTTTTAAAAGCTACGAGATCTGCCCTGCAATTACTTTCCATTAGCATATAAGCAAAAACCATTGTGCCCTTCAAATATAAAGGCAACATGACAAATCCCAGACTAAAAACATTTTATCTCACCACACTTAACCCAAGCACCTGGTATTAAATTACAAGTTAGAATTTATCTTCCCCTTATCTTTACTGTTTCCTTGGTGTGGTATTCTTAGCAATACAATATTTTGGAAATCAATGAAAACGTTCCTTTGAATATGACCCAAGGTCTCTATGCCTACCACAGCAGAATTATATCTGCAGAATCCAAAGAAACGTACCACCTAGAATTGCAACACATTTCACTATCTTAAAGACAAGGACAGTGTGTAACATTTTACTGAACAGAAATAACAGGTACAATAATTTTGCTGATTAAAACTGGCCATCAACAGGGGATTAAGAGTGATCGCCATAGGCTAGTAGGGCATGTGACTGCATAAGGAGAAATTCAAGCTGTTCATCTGTGACCCATGCTCTGTACTCCTGCCCATACCAACACACCTGGACTGGTTTGCTTTAGACAAAAATTATCATACAGTTCTGCAAACTCTTGATTCATTGTTAAAGAGGGTCCTCTGCTGGACAGCCCACTTGAGGTAACGTAGTCCATCCTCCAACTGAATGCTGGGGATGAAGATGTTGTCCTCTTGAGAAGTAGGGCATATCGGTTCTTTGCTCAGTTTTTCTTTCTTGCTCTTTCATGAAATCACCTCGGTGCCGGTGTCCAACCAACTCTGTCTCTAATAAAGAGGTTTAGCACTAACTGTATGTAACAGGCAAGGCTACTCAGGTGCATCACTGCCTGGCACAAACGAGCAGTTGATAAAAATGACAAAATCTGCATAAGTGATGTTTTATACAGAGAGAGCATTAAGAGAATGGCCAGTTTTTTTTATACTCAAAAGGATTTAATGGAAGAAAAAGGAGGGAGAAAATTGAAGCTTTGATTAATCAAGTGAGGTGTTTATATGGTACAAAGCAAAAACTCGGTGTGACCTAGGGGTAAAAGGAAAGGGGAAGAAATGAGTAATTGGTATGGAAGTTTAGACCGAACATAAAACACACCTGGGACCACAAGGGCTATTGTTGAGTGAACCCAGAGGGAACAGAACTACCAAGACTGAGGTCCTTCATTAATCCTTGAAACCAGCTCTATGTGCCTCACTAGGAGTTTCTAAGAACTAAAAACAGCTTTGCAACACATAAGAGCTAAAACCACAGGTTAATGTGTAATGGAGTAAAAAGCACAATTCTTGCACAGTTTGAGGTGCTCCAGAACATCACTGAATTTCCATTTCACATTTGGAAAATTGTAACTGTAAGAGAAGAAACACTTGGTACATGTGGCTGATACCAATTAATGGGTAAAACACTATTTGACTTACATTGACTCAACTCACTTTATTACAAAGCCAGCAGAAAAGTTTGAATTTGAAATTCACAGCTTCTAGCTGTGTACTGAATACCAAGTATTCTGTGGATGTGACATTTCAAATTACCGAAGGCTGTTACTCATTAATCATCAAAGGTGATCCAACAGTGGACACCAAACAGCATCACATTATCACATTTAAAAGCCATCTGATCAATCACTAGGAACATTTGCGCTAAACCCCTGTGATTCTGCAATACAAACCTGTCTACCAAGCAGGGACTGCTTTTTCTAGTCCCACAAAGCGGAAAAGCAACTTCTTCACTAAACAAATCTTCAGTACTTTGGCTGCTTTGACAACACAGGCATGAAAAATCATGTACTATATTGCTTACATTTTACCCATTACAAATTGCAGTGCTTAAAAAAATTGAGCATGCTCACTTGTAGTGTCCAATAAATTGATGCTGCCTTCACTTAAAATACAAGTTATTTATAATAACCTAAAGGTTCTCTTAATAAAATTAGTAACTTCTGACCCAAAGAAGGGGGGTGTTGCTCTGGCTTATCCAAAAACCAACACATCCTACAGGAGATGTGACCTGTACATAGCCCCAGCTCCCACTGCTATAAGTTCAGCAGACATTTGTCAATTGCAGTGCTAATATTGCTAGACAAATTTGTATTTAATATCATATCATATCTCTTGAGTGGAAGTAACTGCTACTGTATATACTTTGCATCCTCAAACAACAGAATGCACAAGACAGGATATTGTCTCACAGGGATCACCCCACAGAGTGCGACTCAACATCAGGTGTACAAAGGTAAAGAATGCATGAACCAAATAATAAAAATCTTTAGAAATGACATGCTACCATGTCAGAGAACATGTTTTAAAATGCCATACTGCCTTCTGACCCCTCAAAATGATTGCTTCCAACGTACTTTTCTTTTCCTACTTCCTCCTCCACCGGATTTTCTTTTTTTTTTCTCCATTAAGAAAATGCCACTTCTACAGTGCCATGACAAACTCCAGAAGCACTATTGGAGAAATGGTGGTAGACGCTCAGACATGGTCCATGTGTGGCGCTGTTGAAATTAAAGAGAAGGCAGGGAGCTCTCCCCCAGCCCAGCTGGAATGTGGTGTCTAGGTGCTCAGACGATTTCCAGGGCAGAAAACGGCAGCTGTGGACAATTTAAGACAGTGTGATGTGAAGGCAGGATAAGCAGCACAGGGTCTTCTGTCAGTATGCAAGGAGATTGGCATGTGATTATAATGCCTCTGGTGTAAAGAGACGTTTTCACTTTTTATCAATTCACTGTGTTCTTTAACAGGGGCACCAGTAATTATAGCAGAAGTGCTATCAATTTATGTCGGCAGATGGACCATTCACTCGATTCAGCCAGTAGCTAATTTTGCATGGACAGTCCCAAGACAGATGTATCAAGCAATTATATGGCATTCATACAGTAGCGGCTCCTGGAACTATCTTTTTTTACCCTCTCCTGTCTTCTGTCCCCTCCTGTATTTCTCCTCGTGTTCGTCGTCTCCGGTCATTTTTTTCTGCTTTTTCTGCATCCCCTGCTGCCTGTTGTTGCCTCACATTGCACCCCAGTCGTGGGACCAGAGGGTTTAGAACAGTATCACCCCTGATCAGCCCTAAGCACTTCCTCAAGGCACATCTGCTCAGACGTCACCTTCAAATCCTGTGATGCATCCTTGCACTTCGTAAAACTGCTTCATCTTAGATTGTTTAATGTACAACATATTGTTTTTCACTGAATTCTAAACATTTTGTAACACCATTTTAAACCGTGCAACAGTAACGCCATATAAATGCATTTTCACAGCTGAGTAATTGTTTTCAAAGTAAGTCTCCTCAGATAAAGGCATCTCCTAAATAATAATAAGACTAACCATCTCCACCTGGTACTGTAGCAGCACATTTAATAAAAAATGTAGATAAAACATGCTGCA